ATCCTCCAACCCCAACACTGCCCTAATTCAAGCCTTCATCTTTCCTGGCCTGATGTAAGAGACTTCCCATTTTATTTCATCTTCTACCTGTCCAGGGGTGTCAGCTTCCTCAAGCAGAAAGACAGTGAGTGACAGAAGGCCCTATAGTCTGTGGGGGTCATGTACCCACTCAACACTCTATGTCTGTGTCTGAATGTACACCTATGAGCCTGCAGAAAACAGACATGATCTCTGAAGACTTGTAGGAACTGGAAAGGGCACGGGACGAGGAGCCAAAGGAGCTGGCTCGCGTCCTGCATCTGCCAGTGAGCAGCTCTGTGATGCTGGACAAGTCACCCAGCCTATCTGCCTCACTAGCAACATAGTTAATGACACTGTCTGCCCTCCTTATCTCATAGCTGATGAGTGTCACTGTATGACAAAGTTCTTTGTAAACTGAAAAATGCTAAATAAATGTCGAGCACTATTGTTATTAATATTTTATCTCAATCACTTTTATCAAATCAGGCTAACCCTTGGGTAGTAGTAAAGTTTTTGACTGTACAAATCATTCCCTGAATGTTTCAGAGACATTTTCTTAATATGCTTACATCAGCCAAGCATTTCTTCAGAGTTGAAAAAATGCTTTAAATTTGCTCTGTCATTATTAAACTTTTTGTACATTTTAAATTATTATTAAAATTAACACATTACCTACTTTTAAAACTTTGTAAGTAGAAGAAGAAAGAAGAAAAGCAAAAGGCTCAACTCTCAACACTAAAGACAACCATATTAACATTTTATTATCCTCCAGTTCTTTTTCTACATTATTTTTCTAGTGTTTACATAGTCCTAAGTACTTTAAATTGGATTTTTGGAAGCTGGTGGTAAATCATAATACAGGAGAGAATTTTTCCCAGAGGAATTGCTGTGTGCTTATGGGTTTATTCCCATCATATGGAAAAGCATTCATAATAAAATAATTTGCTATTACGATTTATCCAGCTGTTATTGTGAAAAGAGGCAATGACCACACTACATTCTTAGAAGTTCCTTAGAGATTTCCTAGCTTTGATGCTTGGTCTAAATTACTTACTCTTTTAGCAATTTTTAAAGAAGAGTACAAAGCCGAGCTGTTTCCTGAGCCCTCGTATATCTGAGAACGCCATTGTGCATCTCAGCCTTTACCTCAAAACTAATTTTTCATTGTTCTTTTGCTTTTAATGGCAATGACAACTGCATTCTGGGATCGCCATAATTTTTGTTCCTTTCTATGTAAGCCTGTTATTTCTAGCTGAATGCTTTTAGCAGTTATTTCACAATGTTCTGAAAAATGTCATCAACAGGTACTCAAAAAAGGGGTGGGTCCCATATCAAATGTTTGGGAAATATTGGGTCATATATGCAATGCTAAATATGTTTTGTGATTGCAGGGTTGCTAACGTGCACAGTGAACCTTCAACACTTACTTGGCATTTCCCAAATGTATTTAACAACAGGACCCTTTTGAGTCTACGGAACACCAAGTAACACTTCCTGGGAAGAGTGCTACAAAGCCCAATTTGGGATATGCTGGCTTATAATTTTAATTATATTTAAATTCTCAAAAGAAAAGACAGATTATATCTAGGCAGGGGTCTCTTTTCACGGTTTTGTTTGTTTTGGTCTAGAATGCAGGATTCTCTCTCTTTTTCTTGTTTAGAAATTGTGGTAAAATATACGTAACATAAAATTTACCATTTTAACCATTGTCAAGTGTATAGTTCAGTGGCATTAAAAGTACATGCATGTTATTGGGCAACCATCAAGGATTCCCCTTTCAACTGCACACTCCTTTCTTCTTTTCGGCTCAGAAAAGTTTCCTTAAATTCACTGGATAGCACGTATTCCCTAGAACCCCTACCATACACTGGTCACTGTCCTGAGTCCTGGGGACACCAGAGGACACCGCATTTGGTTGTGTTCTTGCTCTTGTTCTGTCAGGGCTTCCCCTCAGATAACCCAGAGGAGCTGGCTCTCCACCCCGCTTCCTTGCTATCGGCTCTCGCCCCATCCCGTTCACCTGCATTCTGAGACGTTTCTCGTTTGTCATCAATAGTTTTGCTCTTTTCTGCTTTGATAATGTTTTAAGTCACTGCACTGTTTCACTTTCTCTGCATTTCTTTCTTTTTCTACCTATCTTCTTTTTTAGCTTATCCTATTATCTTTTTATTTCTGCTTGCTCTTTCTTTATGGCTTTCAGCTTCATAAATACCATGTTTTCTCAAATCTCACTAAGGATACCAGACAGTTGTTCTACAATGTGTTTTTCTTCCTTTTTTTTTGTGGGGAGATCAGCCCTGAGCTAACTTCTGCCAATTCTCCTCTTTTTTTGCTGAGGAAGACTGGCCCTGGGCTAACATCCGTGCCCATCTTCCTCCACTTTATATGGGATGCCGCCACAGCATGGCTCGCCAAGCAGTGCGTTGGTGCACGCCCGGGATCTGAACTGGTGAACCCCGGGCCACCGCAGCAGAGTGCGTGCACTTAACCGCTTGCATCACCGGATCAGCCCCTGTTTTTGTTCCTTTTAAAAATTATTTTTCACATTATTATCTTCCAGGTGATCTTTCCCTTTCCTTTCTGTGAAGAATGTTTGTACACAGGCTCCATAGAGATTTTTCTGCTTACTCACCCTCACCTGAAAAGGGATTGATAAAGACCCAAGAGTTTGTCACTCTTGGTATACCTGGGAGCTGGTGAGAGCACCTTTTCAGATTTACCTGTAACTGACTGGCAGGTTGATGTCAGTTTCTCCAAGTCCATTTCCCAGAGCAGAGTTAGCATTTGTGTAGTGCAAGTTGTTAGGTGAGGTCTGTCCTCACCTGAGCGCAGATTTTGTAAACAAACAGGGTGGAGTAGAGAAACAGCTAGATTCCCCCCTGGGCACTGGTATCGGGGCTCTTCCTGTCGCCAGCATCACCCTAAGCCTTGCCCTCCCTTCCCCGACTTTGTTTTGGGTACAGAGGAGGCACCACTGCCAGGCTTGCCCACTTCCTGCCCAAGTACTCTGTGAGCTGCAGTTTCCACACGTTCACAGACTGAGCCATTCAAATGGGGAGGAGCCGGAAGAGGGACAGTGGGCAGCATGGTGGTAACGTAAAGTACCTCCTGGGTGGTGTGCCAGCGGCTCTGCTTTCTGGTTGGTACACACTTTGGATTTCTCCGTGTGAGCAGGAGATGGGGGAGGAATGGAAGGGTCAGTCCCCCATGTATCCAGCTAGACCCGGGATGGGTGGATCTCATCGGTTTCTGAGTTTGTAGAAATTCCTCCAGATTCTGTGAATAGGTTGGACATGTGTCCTAGTTTTGGGGATTTTTTAATCTTGTCTTTTACCATCATCATTAGTCATTTAGTGAAAAGCAGGAAGAGACTGTTAGCAAATGCCATTTTAAACTAAAGTCTATAATTAAATTTGTGACTTTGATGGTGGGAAAAACACATTAAATAATTTCTTTCCTATTATTAACACACAGTGATACAGTATGCAATGATGTAAAGCAGATGGGTTCAGGATAAAGACAGACATGGTTTGAATCCCAGTTTCCTTATTTGTCAATTGCTGGATCTTGGCACATCAGTTATTAACCATATTTGCACTTATTTTTGTACATTCATGGTCAAGCCAGAAAAGTATGAGTTGAGGTCTCTCTCTTCTGAGTCCATCTGTGTAGTGCCTAAATACTCAGGGAAACCCAATGCAGTCACAATGACGAGTACTCTGGACACCATACTTGGTCTCTTGGTCGCTGTGACTAACTACACTGAGTGCATTTTCAAAGCCTAGTATAGTGGTCTTAAGAAACGGTAGTCATTGAAAAGAAGTTTATGTGTAATCTTTCTGAAGACTGCTTCAAATTAAAATAATTTTGCTTTTAATTAAGTCTCTAATTTAACCAATTAACAATCAATGGAAATAGGAAAAGTTCAACAGGGGTGTGGCTGGACTAAGGAAACGCTCATACCTTAAATCTAACAACTATGCTCTAGTTTTCACTAGTTTACTGAGTAGATTTCCATGTGTTCAAGGAACTGCCAAACAGGCTGAAAGCCAGCATAATTAAAACAAATTATTTATTCCAAGTTCCATCAGTTTAAGGTTTTTCAGAAGTTATTACAAAAATGAATACTGAATCAGAAACGAGCGTGCACAGCTGTAGCATTTACAACAAAGTTAATATCTACATGACCTTGATTTAAAAGATTTGAGTGTTTCCATCATTCAGAATCCATGAGGAAAGTTTCGAAGTCCAGATCCAAGTCGGAAACGAGGGCACTTACAAAGTCATCAACAGAAGGACACTTCTGAAGCATGCCTGCAAACAAAGAAAAGATCAGCCAGCACATTCTCCAGCAGACAATGAGGAGGGCCAAAGACACACATTCAAATCTGTACACCAGGGGAACATTCCGGCTATTTGAAATAAGAGCTCGGCTCCATAACCTGACTATGAGGACATTACAAAAGGTCATGAGCAGTGTGTGGGCCCTGAAGCTATTTATGATTTCAATGCATTTTTACTATCTAATCAACACTTAGCATAGCGATTTAGGACCAAATATGTTTCCCAAGGGTTTTTACTTTGCACATATTACTATATACTTGGAGTGATGTTAGAAGAGTGAATTTTTTAGTTATCTTTGACTGGGTTGATTCAGAATTTAGTATGTTTAATTACTTATCAAGTTTTATTATCAAGTTCTACACATTTTAAAATCATTCAAGTGCTGGGGCCGGCCCCGTGGCTTAGCGGTTAAGTGCGCGCACTCGCTGCTGGCGGCCCGGGTTCGGATCCCGGGCGCGCACCGACGCACTGCTTCTCTGGCCATGCTGAGGCCACATCCCACATACAGCAACTAGAAGGATGTGCAGCTATGACATACAACAATCTGCTGGGGCTTTGGGGGGAAAAATAAATAAATAAATAAAATCTTAAAAAAAAATAAAAAATAAAATAAAATAAAATAATTCAAGTGTTAATTCTTTTGCAGAAATTTTATATCAGAGTCAAGTTATTCCTTTCTTCCAGATTTTCCTATCTTGGAGAACTCCTAGCTTTGCAACTTGCTAATTGTATAACGTGGAAGTCACTTAAAATCTCTGGTACTAAAATTTCCTCATCTAATATACAAAGCTAAAACAAGAAGACGTTTTGGAAAGCAATGAGGCACCGTGTCTAGCATATATAAACAATTCAATAAAAAGCTGAATTTATCTCCATTCTTCACTCCAAAGAAGCCAAAGACAAGGATTCAAGCAATCTACCTTGTTGCCTCAACCTATATTCTTGGCAGATAATGCTAACTCAAGGCTTGAACAGGGCTGTATACACTGGCATTTAATTTGGGGGACGGATCCCAACACTGAGACATTAAAAGATTCCCAGAGTCCCGTTATCCTCTAAATCTTTAATACAACTCAAGTAACATGTACTGAGTATTTGTGGTGTGTAAAGGATCGGGCCAGGTCATTCACATTCGAAGACAAACAGGCTAAGTCACAATACGAGGGTGAGCAGGACACAATCACAAAAGTAAACTGTGGGGAACTGGACATCCAGATGGGGGAAAAACTAACCTTGACCCCTACCACATACCATATATAAAAATTAATATGAGATGGACACAGACCTAAGTATAAAGCTAAAATTATAGTGTCTAGAAGAAAATATAGAATATCTCTGTGACTTTGGATAGGCAAAGGTTTCTTAGGACACAGAAAGCAATAACTATACAAGAAAAAAAAGTTGACATATTAGATTTCATCAAAATTAAAAATTTCCACCCTTTAAAAGAAACAATTTTCATTAAGAAAATGAATAGGCAAATGACAGGATGGGAGGAAATACATAACATACATTTCACATAGGACTGGTATCCAGAATATATGAAGGTCTCCTTCAACTCATCATCAACATATTTTAAAAACTTAACAATGGACAAAGATTTGAGCAGACTTTTCACAAAAGAAGACATCCAAATAAATACACACAACTAACTGGCACTGAGAAGACACTCAACATCATTGTCATCTGGGAAAAGAAAACTGAAACCACAATGAGACACCACAACACACCCACCAGAATGGCTAAAACTACAAAGACTGACAACACCAAATGTAGGCAAGGCTGTGGGCAACCTGAATTGTCATACTTGAGTGGTGAAAGAGTGAAATGATACAACCACTTCAGAAAAAGGTCCAGCAGTTTCTTATAAAACTAAGCACACACTTAATCTATGACTCAGCAATTTCCTCCCAGGTATTTACCCAAGAGAAATGAAAGTATGTCAACAAAGATAAGGACCTTACAATCCCAAACTGGAAATAACACAAGTTCCCATCAACAGGATATAGATAAACATATGTGGTCTATTCATAAAATGGAATACTACTCCTAACAAAAAGGAAGAACCTACTGATACACATGACGACATGGACAGATCTCAAAAACAGTGCACCAAATGCAAGAAGCCTTACACTGAGGAGCACATACTGTTTGATTTCATTTATATGAAGTTCAAAAATGGGCCAAACTAATCTATGGTGAAAAAAATCAGAACAGTGGCTGCCTTTGGGACTGGAGATGGTAATTGACTGAGAAGGGACACAAGGGAACTTTCTGGTATGATGGTAATTAATGTTCTATATCTGGATAGTGATATGTGTTATAAAGGTGTATACATGCATCAAAATTCATCGAATGGTGTATTAAAGATTTCTGCATTTTACTGTATATAAATTTTACCTAAAAAAGAAAACAAATATTGAACTCTAGGTTAATGCCATGCATGCAAAAGTGTCTAGGGGTAAAATATACTGATGTCTGCAACTTGCTTTGAAAAAAGATATAATAGATATAATACATATATGATGGATTGATGGGTGGGTGGAGAAATGGACGTATGTTATAAAGTGAATAGAGCAAAATGTTAATTGTAGAATCTAAATGACAAGTACATGAGTGTTTGCTGTACTATTCATTGAACTTTGCTGAATATTTGAAAATTTTCAACACACAATCTTTGGGAAAAACTAAACTGTGAATGTTACTAGCACACAAAGCGCATCAGTGAGAGAACAGAGAAAAATGAGTTCCAATGGAGAGATGCAGAGGGCATTATGGAAGGGTGGTTTCTGAGTAGAAACTTAAACAGCTGGGAAAGATTTAGATTCAAAATTAGTGCCTTTCAGATGGAGAGGATGACATAAGAAAGGCACAACGGGGGGAAAATGCAAAATGTATGTTGACCACTAAGGGTGGAAGAGACGCTGGGAGAAGAACGACCACGCGGGAAGACTGAGGCTCGGAGCCAGGGTGACCAGGAATGGGGAGGGTGACTGAGCCGGAGCGCAGGAGGAAAACCAAGAGCTCGTCACGTTTGAGTGCCGGGCGTGCTCCACGTGCAGGCACCCGGGCCTCAGTCAGCAGTGAGCACGCAGAGTCCAGAGGGTGGGCCCAGGACTGGACACGCAGTTGTGGTCATTCTCACCAGGGAGGGCGACCGTGTGGGAAACAGTCCAGATTGGTTTGTGTGGTGGACGTAAGAACAGTAGCAGCTCCAAACGCTACTTGTAAGCCACTAACCAGACCTAGAGAAGCTCAGAGAATATTGTGAGAATATTGTGATATTTTCACCTGTAGACCAAGATATTTTCATCCTCATTCAGGTTCAAGTTCTAGTATCTCCATCTTAGGGAATATCTGAGAAATAGGGCGCAGCTAATGGAAGAGAATTTCATTGCTATGTCTTTATTTGCAAAACTAAAGTTCAAAACACAATTTTCTTTTTACAGTAAAATAATCTCTACAGATGAAAGACGGCCTCTCCTCTGGTCCAGCTGTGTCACTAATGATAGAAATGTTGAGTCTTGGATGACTGTGAAAGTAGCACATTTCACATCGGATCTTCTAAATGTAGGCTAGTACTTAAGCAGATGCAATCTGATTAATAAATCAGGTTTCATGCATCCCTATGTGCCAGGTTTCTTTCTGAATGCAGAGAACAGTTGTAAGGAAAACATTTAAACGTGGCTTTTAATCAAAGGTGTTAACCTATTACACCATTTTCTTCCTTTTAATATTTGAAACATTCTGTAATTAAATGACTGGTCGTTTATAATTAAATGACTAGAACTGTCAGAAGGTAAAACCCATTTATTTACAGCCAACCTATTCAGTTAAGCATGGCCCTGCTGTCCCTTTGAAGTGGTTCATTTCAACTCGACCTACTGCCAACGTAAATAAGCCCTCGCTCTGTCCTCGCCAGACAAATGGAACTAGCACACATCCTTCTCCAATTTCCAATCTTCAACCCTTCCTGCATCTCAGAGAATGGCAATTGTGGCAACAAGAGAAAAACATATACACTCACGGTATTTTTAAATAAAATTTGATCAGAGCTAAATGGTTTGGTAATTTGGGATGTTATGTGATTGTTAAAGATAAAGGTTCAAAAAGGAGGAAATCAGGACCCGAAAGCATAAAGAATAGTTGGCGGGGCAGGAATTCTCTTGGTATGCTGTTACGGTATCCTTGCTTTAATTAGATTGAAATGTTTTGCAAGTGTCAACATGAACTAACCTCTACACAGAGAATAAAAGAAAAATACAATGTGTTTAGGCAATTCCACAAATAAGAAAAATTAAGTTAGCTTTTATATATGTGTATACTCAAAAAATTCCAGGAGCTCTTTGATTTTTCAAAAAAAGCTGACAAAGATGTCCCCTTTGTCTTCAAGTCTTAATCCTCAAAGGGTGATGACTAGACTTGCAATTTCTTAGGAGCCCCAGGGAACCAGGCTGGAGCTGTTACATCCACAAGTGAGTGGAGTTTACAAACTCTGCATTTGAAACATATTTCACTGTGGAGATCACCTCAACTGGGGGGAGGAAATGGACTGACTTTGCCAAAAGGACTGAAACAAACAAATGACAACTCAAAAGAGACAAGTGTCAACAGCAATTTAAGAAAGACAAAGTTGCATTAGGACTCACATTGTGTGTGCATAAAAAGGAAAACAAGTAGTGAGTTTTATCTACTTGTTGCACTCAGAGGAATAGAGAATATATAATGAGTAGTTAAAGAATGATGATTTAATTTATTTTTGTCCTCATTTTACATGAGAGGCAAATGGGCTAATAAAAGTTGGTACAAGCCAGAACATTTTCGTCTTGACCGCTCTGCTCAGACTAGCATGTTTCATAACTTTGAAGTACTAAGGCAATTATTCTAGGCCTGACTAAAATAAATTATATCAAAAGGATTCCAAGACTGACTCTTGAAGCAGTAAAGGTTTCCAGATTGTACTAGGTGCTCTTCTCTCCAGTGACTGCTGAAATAGAGCTGGAAATACAGTGGGGATAAAGATCCCAGGCATGAGGACTTGACCCACAGACAACTGGTCTAGAAAGGGTTTATTGGAAAGACCGCCATCAACACAAACAACAAAGTGGTAATGGCAGCTACCTGTTGGGCATTTACTGTGTGCCAGGCACTGGACTAAGAGTATTAACTCATCTGAGCCTTAAAACACACCTGTGAGGAACATATCTTACACATAAGAAAATGGAGCACAAGAGGTCACACACTCTTATGTTTTTTTGTTGAACCTGGCAGTCTGGTTCCAGAGCCCATGCTCTTAAAACACTGTGATATATTGCCTCATGCCCCAGAATTTTGTAAAATAATACACATTCTAGAAAGGTCCATATTTACATGTCAACATCCCGGATATGACAAAACCCAAATGTGTGTAGAAATTCTGGGGGAAAAAAGTCTAATAGCTTCCTGATGTCACCCAGGGCTATGTGGACTCAACTTATTAATTGTCCCCTTATTGCCTTTAAGACAAAGCCAAAATGTCCATTGCTTTTTGGGCCATTCCGTTTCCAAACTATGGAGTATGCATACTTTACGAGCAGTCTCAACTATGTAGCTATCCCTGGAGACAGAGAATGCAGAAGAGTGGGAGCAGTCTCTGCTGAAAAGGCAGGAACTGGTCCTGGCAAATGGCTCTGCCCAACCATGACTGGGACAGGCAGTCATGTCATGACCAAAAGCCTCTTCCTCTCAGGGCACAATGCTCGGCCACGCGTGGTTGCTGCTGGAGTTCTTCTCTAGGCATAATAGTGGGAGAAAAAAGTGCCTAAGAGTTTTGCACTTAAGGATGTTTTCTGGGTGGCCTCCAAGTATCTGTGGTAACCCCTTGCAAACAGAAGCCCTTACATGTTTAAGAAGCTCGTAACTATGCATATTACTATGCTTTCACCAAGGAAAAATTCTGTCAGCCCCAGGATGAGTTCAATACGTGTACCAAGCTGCAAGTCCACACCCTGTTATTTTGTAATATATAATATACAATCTAACCAGACCTTCATTGAAATATCAACATACTCTTGGCATGAACTCCTTAACCTTTTAAGTGCCCGTCTGGATGTACAACTAATACAATTTGAAAACAAGACTGAGAGCAACTGGTTGGCAGTTTGACTATTCCTCTAGGCTAGTTTGGCAAAGTCTGAATCCTGTCCTGGGCCCTCTACCAAGTGCCTGGGGTGAAATGGCCTGTGTATCATTTAATTTCAAGAATACAGGGGATTATCGGGGCAATTAAAAAAAAGAATTATTTTAAGCCTTGGAAGAGAAGTAGAATAGTTACATCTCCTCTTTGAGTCTGTTTCATATATTGCTTAACACCAACCAAGGGTGTCCAATCAAATAAAACTGGTTGTGTGGTATCGAAATTTAGTGAAAGCAAAAAAGAATGGATGAAGTAACTATAATAGAATCCTTGTAAGAGTTTTTTCTTTCAATCATTCATTCATTCACTCACTCACTCATTCTATCTGTACCTGAGTTCCTAATGTGAATTTAAGGCAGGCAAAAAGATCACATATTATTTATTAGGAAGATTCTATGTATAAAAATTACTAAGACTCTGCCTTATAGAAATGTATAATCTAGTGGTTCTAGGGCTGTAGTTCCCAGACCAACATCAAGGGTATCACCTGGGAACCTGCTAGAAATACAAATTCTGGGTCCCCTCCCCAGACCTAATGCAGCAGGAGCTGGGCCCAGCTGTCGGTGCTGTAACAAGTCCCCTGGGGGACCCGGATGTGCACTGTGAGAACCACTGCTCAAAAGGACCCAAGGAGACCGAGCCACATGGAAAAATGAGATGCAGTTCTTCTCAACTCGCAACTATAACTTGAAAAATATTGAGCAAGAAAGATGTATGGATTTTCTATTTAACTAAACTAAAAAATATTTGTTTCTCAAGTGAAATAGAAAACAATCTTATGAAACAAAAGTAGGATTTCTTTGGAACACTGTTCAAGGTTATAATTACCAAGCCCCAAGAGAGATGACACAGCTGGCTGGAAAAGCACCTAAAAGGATCAAGTGGATTTGGCAGGAAAATAGCCTTAAAATCTGGAGGAGGAGGGGAAGGAGGCTAGAAGGGAAGCTGACACAAACCATAGAGCTGTGAACGGAAGGGTGCACACTGTGACTACCAACTTGCTCAGAAGTCTCCCAGAGGTTAGCAACAGTGTTTCTATTTTAAAAAAAAGAAGCAGAGCACATTCTGATTACTAGACACCCCCTGGGAAACATGCTTTGTGTTTCCATTATTGACTCTTTAGTGAGCAAAGCTCAGCACCACATCTTAAGAGCTTCTCTCGTGGCAATTCTGACTGTTCCAAGCTTGAGAACTACAGTCAGACCTCAGTCAGGGGGAGCTCCTTCTCCAGGGAAAAGACCAGGAAGTCAGTCCAGGCGCGAGTGGTCTGCAGGGATGTCACGAGTTTTACGGAAGTGGGGTCTTCCTAGGGTGATTCTTAGTGGAGAGGGGGATGGACACTGCTGAGATATCGACTCCCCACAGACTTGGCATGCTCCCTCCTTTAGGGCTGCTGAATGGACGCCCCTCTGGCTGCAAGCTCCAGGCACACTACACTGAGCAGGACCATTCTCATGCCCTACTCATTTAAGACGGAGAGTCTGCTCACACATTTATGAAAAATAAAATGTACTGAGTACCTGTGTGCCAAGCACTGTGTGCTAGAGGCACCAGGCACACAGATAGCAGTAAGACATGATTTCTGTTTTCTAGAAGTTCATTATTTGGGGAGAAGACCATGGAAGTACGTAATTATTTATGTAGAACAACAGCATATATAAGATACAGAGATGGTGCAAAAGAGGGAGTGACTGATTAACTGCTGGGGGGGGCACACCATGCTGTCAGAGGGCAAAGGGTCTCCACGTGAGTGAGAACCCACACAGGGCCGCTGAGCCACAGACGGGGCTGGATTACAACCAGCTCCAGGAACAGCAGGGAGACAGACTGAGGGGGGAAAGCTTCCTGGATATTGCTTGCTTGTGCCCCTGCACCCATTTCCCTCTGGTTAGAGGACTGACTTGACTTTAAAGCAGTGGTTCTCTACTGGAGCAGCAAGGACACTGCTGAACCCCTCCCATACACAGGCAGGCCCCTGCTGCCGTCCCACGGAGTGCGGCCTGCTGGAGCTGCTGGCCGAAGGGCCTCCCTGCCCTCACTCTGCCCAGCTAGGCCAGCCAAATGTGTTCTTCCTGGAATTTGCATCTGCAGCAGAATGATCAAAAGTCGGAAGATGACTGGAACGGATTCATCCTGGCACCAGCGCCTGAAGAACACATCTGTTTCTTCCCTCGACCCCTGAAGCTGAGCATTAGTTTGACTTCTCCCTTTGATTCTGTGTCTGCCTCCGTATTGTTCCAAAAAATTCCTTTTCTTCTTGGTAAATCTAAGTTGGTTCTATTTCTTTCAAGAAGATTCCCCGTTGATAAAAAGATCAGTTCACAAGTTATTAAAAAGGGATTTAGTGATGCCAAGGAGATACTGATATTTTTGTTTGATTAAGGACCAACTTTCTAGACCCAGGATTTGGACTAGAAGCAGGTTTTTTTTTTTTTTTTAATTTAAATGACTATGTCTTTCCTCAGATTCATAAAGTTTGGGTGATATACAAGCAAGCTTTAATGTCAGATTTCCTGTCTCCAAGTTCACTGGGGAAGAAAGGAGAGTGGTCCTGGTTCACTGCCTCATAGTCCTGGCCCGGGGGCGAGAGGAGGTGTGATGGTGGGTGCGGCAGGAAGCAGGATGGGATTGTCTCAGTAGCTTGTGGAATCAGGGAAAGAAACCCTCTTCTGTTTGTGGATTTCAGAGGTGCAATGGAAGTTCATGGATTGGGTGTGTGTCCAAGGTTGTCCAGGAGGGATGTCCTGGGTGCTCCATATTTGGGGGTCGGGGGGATGTACTCCTGACATCTATTAGGACTGGCCAGGCATTCAAAGCCTAAAATAATTCACCAGTTCTTTTAAAATCAGAGCTAAAGCCAATCATACTCTTACGTTTCAGACACAGCACTGGTACTTAGTTAAAATTAATGTTAGTCAGTCAGGTTTATATTTAAGACCCACGGGTATCATTATTCAGGGGACAGTCTGGTGGACCAAGAAGAGCCTTAGGCTCCAAAAAGGACATGTGCTGGGGGCCCTACGGGGACAACGGCCTGAGCATGAAAACCAGAGAGTAATGACAGCCGCGGGGGCACTGTGCGGGGTAGGATTTGAGGCTGAATGCAACATTGTCTGGTTCAGTATTGCATCTTATAACTTAAAATTTCAGTCTAATTCTCCTCTTCTGACTATTCAAAAGTTTTCCTTTGAAGGGTTGTCAAGGAGGAATAGAGAGGAAAGATAAATTCTTCCCTTTCTAAACAAAACATGAGATGCCTCTAAAGAAGGCACTATATCCTGATAGATAGAGCAAGAGTTTGGTGAGTTAACCAACAACTTAAGGGACTTCAGACCAGTCACTTGACTTCCTAAGTCTCATTTCTGCTACAAGCAATCTGAGTAAAGGTAAAATGTTAGAGTTAAGTATGATGTTTGAAGATCATAAAATTGGCATAATGTCATCTACTTTGCTAAACTGTTACAAGGATTAAGTAAGACAGTGCATTTAACACATGGAAAATGCTCCATAACTGGTAACAATAACAATCAGATCCAAAGGTTTATGAAAACTGACTTCCTAGTTTAAGAGCTGAAGGATGAAGTTGCTTTGTTTTTGCAAGTGTTGAATTCCAAAACATTGGTCTATGATTAAGTATTTAGGATATTATCATCAAACTCACAATCACAAGCTAACTACCCAGTTACTGAATCATTGCTTGCTTTGCTTTTCTGTACTTTTTGCCATCTGCTTTTTAAGAGATAACTGTTCATCTATTAAAAGAAAGAAATAAGAGATGTAACTAAAATCAATCCATTTTTTTTACCTGTTAGCAGCTGTGATAAAGGGTTTATCAAGAAGAGATCACTGGGATGATGGAAAAGTTCTGGAATGGATAGTGGTGATGGTTACACAAGATTGTTAATAGACAACATTGTGAATGCCACTGAACTGTACATTTAAAATGCTTAAAAAGGCAGAGGCTGGCCTGGTGGCGTAGTGGTTACGTTCCTGTGTTCCGCTTCGGTGGCCCGGGATTTGCCGGTTTGGGTCCTGGGCTCGGACCTACTCACCACTCATTAAGCCATGCTGAGGTGGCATCCCAAATAGAAGAGCTACAGCTCTACAACTTCGTACTAGAGCTTTGGGGAGGAAAAAAAAAAGGAGAGGAAGATTCGCAACAGATGTTGGCGCAGGGCCAATCTTCCTCAAAAAAAAAAAAAAAGGTTAAAAAGGTAAATTTTATGTTATATATACTTGACTATAATTAAAAAAAAGAGAAACCAAAAGTACTAAGATAGAGTCTTTGATTCATCCAGATGTTCTGCTGACTGTGTTATTATTACCCCCGTCCTCTGTTAGCAAACAAAAATAACTGGGATATATCAAAAACTAGATTATCTATACAGATCTGGAAAGGAGTGTTTGTGTATTCCCAACACCACTATCAATTCTAAAAATCCATCGTAATAGTTAATGGCTATTTTTTATGCTAAAATAAATATATGTGCCAAACTCAGCTCAGACTGATTAAGAATTATAGTCAAAGGCTTGCCTGGCAGTTTGAAAAGTCAAAAGTGAATTTTATGAGATCAGAACTCTCATTCCAGATCTGTCTCTCCCAAGCCTAGGGCAACTGTATGGCTTACCTTCTCTGCTTTGAAGTTTTTCTCTGTACAAGGCTGTGGTTACCCACACCTTTTTCTAAAGGTGGATTCCCACTATCTACATTCAGTTCCTGGGAAAACGAGGATATCAGCCAGAAAGTGAAATTCCTTTCCTCCTTTGAACTGAAAAAAATCTACTGCCCCCTAAGTTGGGTTAATACCTTCGCTGTTCAAATATGAGACTGCATCTCTGGGGTCACTGACTGGACTGAAGCTGACTGTCTGAGCTTCCTGCTAGATAGCAGCTGACCCAGTAAGTGGAGCCCCACATGCCTGCTCTGTTTACAAATTAGTTTATTTTAATTTATCATCAGATTTAATAACTCCATTTACAATTACATTTCTGGGTTACAAAACATTGTGCCTTTTGAAGGGCAATGTCTTCCTTAAACAAACACACCCACACATTAAACATGTACACACCCTCTTAGAAAAATCCGTGCATTTACAAAAGGGAGGTCTTAGCCTTGAGAACGCAGGTGCTCTCTTCCATTTCTTTCTTCTAAAAAGCGCTCAGCTATTTCGGAGGCTACGTTGAGTAAAGATCCAAACAAACCAAAGATTAGGGATTCTATTTACTTGGCTATTATTCCTGGTTGCCATTTACCTCTATTATTGCAACTATGTCGTAATCCTAGAGACACTAAACTCTAAGTCTGATTCCATGACATGCTTTCCTCCTTTATTCCTGTTACGCTGTGCAAGAAAAGGTCTCTGCCAACGAGTATGTTGCAAAGCACCAAACGTGCTCCGCATTCATGCATTCTCATTCAACAGCTCTTATTTTGCTGTAAAACCCCTTTACTGTATGTCAGGCAATTGATACCTTATCAATTCTAGTTAGCATATACCACCTTTCAGCATATGCTATCTTGCTCCCAGTGCACAGCAATGTCTTCTTTGAGCATCAATGTGTTCATGACAAGGCAACTCAATTACCAAAAACTATAAGAGAGCAGGGGGAAGATACAGTGGAATACGAAGGCAACTACTTCCAAAGCAAAAGCTTCCTGGTATAACCCGAAACAGGAGTTTCAGAGATTACCAGCCCACACAAGATGAGTCAGAGCGCCTGACCCTGAATCCTAGTTCTACCAGTCGCCACTGTGACCTGGGGCAGTAAGTTACTGACGCGCCCCTTGGCCCGCTGAGAGAACTGACTGAGGTAATGCACGCACCTCGCCTCGCTCAGTACCCGGCACAGGACACACACTCCACACATGCTCGCAGCAGTATTACTGGGATTCTCATTATTGTCATTATTGCTAGAACTGCTCTCTCTCCTGTCCATTCAACTCGAGAAAGACAAAAGTAGGAGAAATTAGTCTTACTGGTTAATACCCAACATAACGTATTATTTGTCTTAGGAAGCCCGGTATATAAGGCTCCTGTAGTATTTTAATAAAATCCCAAAGTGAAAAAAGCACAGGCACGAAAAGGAAGACAAAAATGAATGTGGTGCCGAAATTCCCATTATTTTGAGTGTGTGATTTAAGATTTTAAGAATTTTTTAAAGCTCTGTTTTGTTTCAATTGCTTGAAGGGAAAACCTAAGTGGAGTTTAGCTGTCCTCCTGACCCTACAACTTAATCAAACTAAACATACTTAGGACTGTAAGGAAAGAGATTAAAAAACTAAACATGTGTTACTTGACATACCCTAACTTATGTGAGGGGGTGAAAAAGAACTTGATAATATTACTCAAATATTTGAGATGTGAAAAGTCTGAGATTAAGGAGAGATGATTCTATTTCAAAAATTTTAATGTAAAGATGAACTATTAAGTAAAAAAGAAAATCAGGTTTAGGTATGATCATTCCTTAATTTAGTTTCATTATTAGTAATGTTACATAATAGTCAAAAGGAAAAAGTTTCTTTTAGAGACAGTTGAAAACACTCAAATAAACACTAGAAGATATCTTGTAAACCATCTTCCAGGAAATGATCCAGTTAAACCAAGAGAAATTTTCCTGTCTCCATGCTCTCTGGCAACATTTCAAACAAGAGTTGGTAATGTCAATTTCAATTCTTCAACTAAAATCTGCTCTAAATCTCTACTGCTACTATTATTTTACAGTTTATCGGTATACTTTCTCAACGTAAATTCATCAGCGTATCCCCAGCATCAGTCCTGCCTGAGATACTTCTGGCTTTTAATTTCCTCAACCCTTGAAGCTCGATGCCTCAGGGGGTCAAGCTAAGACTCTAGATCAAGAGCTTTGGGGAAATGACATCTGCTTTTCTAACCTGTTTTTTGCCCATTGCCGACAGCACACATTTGTAACCACATGTGAAAAACATCATCTGTAATGACCATCTTTAAAGAAGATTTTAATGATGTTTCCACTAAGCAATCAAAGAGCTTAAAAAATATTATCTACATTCCTCGTAGAAAGTACTGTAGGTTGACATAATCTAAAAATGTTAATGCTGGTATATTTCTTGGAATGAGTCTACTACAAGATATTTACTTAGGAAAAAAACTTCTCATACCTTAAATAAAGTCAAACTCCAGAGATGTTATCTCAGATGGGTACACAAATGGGAGAGGGCTCCATCACATTCACCCAGCAAGGAGAAAATGACTGCTTACTCTTATTCAGAGAAAACTATCCAAGTGAGCACGACCCACCAAAAGTAAACAGTGACAAAAAAGTTTGTCAAGAGTCTGTAGCTCCAAGAGGGGTCGGGGTGGAGAGCTGTGAGCCAGCAGATGCACCTGGCACCTCAAGGGCTTTGGAGAGACAGCGGCTCAGGTCAAATCCCAACCACGCCATTTAATAGCTTTGCAACAGTGAGGAAGTTACTCAACTTCTCTAGGCTTTACTTTCCATTTATGTGAAATGGGAATAACACCACCTCCCAAATCAGGTGGATTAAGGATACTGTCTATGTCCACGTCTAGCACACTTTAATTATGTCATTGTCCCTTCAACTTCCCTGCATAGCGAATCTCCCTCCTACATGCCCTTTACTGCAGATCATGTGAAATCATTTAGGCAGGACATTCTGATGCCCAGGGTGTAATAAGTGGTACTCCACCCTGAGCACCAGGGAACATGCAGTGAACAACCTTCTGTCCTGCATGGTCCTCTGCCTATCCCTCTATCCAGTCGTTCACAATCAATACTCACTTGCCCCGTGGGCAGAACCAAGGCATTGGGATGAAATGAAAAGTGCCTAAAATATATATAACATAGTACACAGTTGACAGGGTAAAAATTAAAATTCTGCTTAAAAGTTACTTGCCCAGAGGCTTTTCACCATCTTTGCGAGCAAAAACTATGTTGGTTGAATTTAGACATTGGAACTTGACAATAAAATAGGAAAAAAAATCCAAGAATAGTAGAGCTTCTGGGTTAAGTTCGGCAGAAGAAAAGATCTATTATTTCCTGTTAAAGGCTTACTTCCTTTTATTGGTGTAAAGAGATCAATATGCCTGTGGTTTCTATTATCCTACATTGTAAAAATTATAAAAAATGCTCCTCTGTTTCTAGGATGGTGGTATGCAAGTTGGCTGCCCAATGTGTTAACAAAACACTATAACCTATAGGAATTACTTATTCCTGGTGTTCCAAAGTCAATTTATTTAGAAAATAAAAAAACTGCCATTCTTTCCATGAGGGCATTTCTCTTATAATACCCACATATTTTTTCTTTTGTTTAACTGTATCTTTGAAATGCTGACCTTGTATTTTAGCTTTAGTTCTTTGCATCTCAAATTCTATTAATCTGTTTATTCAAAGTTTGACCTTTTCTTTTCTATTTATAAGCAAAGATTATCTGAGTAGCTATTCAAAGCGTGGGTGGCTCTGATCTTTATAGAATGCTTCCTGTCCTTAGAAATAGATTGGACGTATTTTGGTAATGGCGTCTGGTGGAAGGAGGCTGCAGACTCCAAGATCTGATGCCCATTAATATACTAGGTAGGTACAGAGCCTTCCTGAGCGTAGGCAACCTGTCTTATTTACTTAGGTTTGTGCCCTCAACATGTCACCTTCCCCCACTACTCACCCCCAGGCCGCCTCATCTGGTCGTCCAGCTGGTGCAGAATACTGAGGTAGCTGGCTGAAGGGAAGGAGGGAGACACCCAGGAGCCGAGGTCCCCAAGCCCTGTGTTCTGGTGCAGACCACACAGGCCCAGAGTTGGCACCTTTCTGCAATCCATCTCCCAGGGGGCTCCTTTTTGTAATTCTCACCAGATGCTATACCCCTTACATAAATGTAGGGTCTGTATATTATTCTTATGCATTTATTTATCAGTCCCTGAAGAGCCTGGTTAGCAGTGAGTATTCAATAAATATTTGCTAAGCTTAAGTGAATTAACTTCATCAACAACTAGCATAATATTTTTTTATTCTATCAGATTATTTATTTGTCATTAGCTCAAGGATATTAAAATAATACATCTTAACAAAAGATAGTATTCTGGACAGCTCTTTCAACCTTAGGCTACAAAAGTGGTGTAGCTGACAGCAAACAGTCCCAGACGCCAAGTCACAGGAGCCCGGGAGGAAGACGAGCCGTCAGAGGGAAGCGTTGAAGGCCGACGTCTTTGAGGACAACCTGGCCCAAGGTGGAGTTGGCTTAGAGTTGGCTCTGCTTTAATTAAGCCCCAAGAGTTGACTTGCCTTATATAACAAAGCATGCTACTAATTGTCATGAATCAAGGTGCAGAATCTATCTCTGACCTCTTACAATAGTGAAAGTGTTTTCCACTTTAATGTCCATTTCTTAAATAACCATTAATTTACCAGACTGACTTGGTCTTGCATTAGAAGAATTATAAAACACAAGAAATGAGCTGTCTTATTATACCTTTTAGAACACTGGTGATGTACAGCGTAATAAATACATGTGGTGTGTAGAGGCAAGCTCTACAAAGAACACATCTCAGAGAGCCAAATGGATGGCGTTCATTTAAGGGCCATGGCTTCCTCCCACCTGCTGATGAAGGCTCTTTGATCAAAAAGGACTGAGGCCAGTGAAGCAGCGGTCCCGACGTAGGTGCGGTGGAGAGAAGGAAGCCGGAACAAACGGCAGGAAGACAAAGGCACACCAGATATCCAGACAACTGAGCAGACATGATGACAGGAGATCAGAGAGGAGGCAAGATACTGAACAAGTGGTGACACAGCACCTTCACTGTATGTCTGTTTCTATATCTTTAGAACACCTTTACTATATATATATATTTCCTTTATGTTACAAAACAGTTTCACAAATATATTTAGGCCCACACAATACTTGGAAAAATTCTGTGATATAAAAATTTCAGAATGAGGTAAATAAAAACCTGTCCCCTTTCTAATAATCACCACTTTTTTATGGCACAAGAAATATTTGACCTTTTAAGTATCTTTTAATTATTTACATATTTATTTATTGACTGCCTATGCACCAAGCCGTATCACACGTGCTGGGATACAGCAGGGACAGACTCACTTTCCCTCCTCTCATACAGCTTTTACCTTACTGGGGAGCATAGACCATAAACTAATAAATGAAATAATATATGTTACATTATGTCAGGCAGTAAATATGTGCTGTGGAGTAAGGGGGCAGAGAATGACAGGGAAGGACTCCCGACTGTAGGAGGGAAATAAAGATGATCTATACTTATCAACTTTTGAGCAACCCATCAAAATTCATCGGAATGATTTATTTACAACAGTACAGTCTTGCTTGGCATGCTAGTAGCTTTAAATCATCGTATCTTTTAATATTTAATATGTCTCTGTGAGGGGTTTCCTCATAAGTCACCTACAAATGTAAAAGACACTCTGGGGTGGGCACTCGTAAGCCACGTGCATATCCTCTGGGCACGTCCTGGCATTATCTACACTCAGCCGCCACACACCTGGGTGCACAGATGTTGGCTAAGTCAGGCAGAACCCGTCGTGTGTTAATGCTTATTTCTTCCTTGAAAATGTCACTTAATTAAAACAATAAAAAGCAGAGAGACATATTTTAAAAAATAAACCTAGGAAAAACTGTTAAAGCCTGCGTACGTTTACTATTCTCATACAGCATTGGGCCTGCCTGCCTTGCCACACGATGGCAATATTTAGGGATTAACAGATTGCATGATTAAATGTTAACTGCATGATTTAAAACTGAAAGTAATAACTGCAACTAATTTTTAGAGCTATAAAACAATGTAAAATGCCTTTTCTGTTTAAGTTACTCTGTATATGTTTTGAGAACAGGGACAATCAATCAAGCTAGTGTTGAATAACGACTGTTTACATAGCTGTCTCACTTTGAACGTCAGCGGTACCTCTGCCGACAGACAGGACTCACTGCTCCTTGACTGCGTCATGTTTGTATTGTACAAGCAACACCAACAGCAAAGCTGCAAACTAAACACATTTGGCCTATTAGGTTAGTAACCAGGTTATTAAAAAAAAGGTAAAGCATTAATGCTTGTTACCTAAAGATGCTGTGTCAACAAGACATCAATCTTTTAAAGTAAATGAAATACTCTGGGTCAATTTGAATAATCGTGTCATCCTGTCGATTAGAGCTGTCTACAACTGGGATGACTTTGCCTTGTGACACAGTGGGTTTCCCACCACTCCAACTGCTCAGAAAGAAGGGCTTCCTACAGCTAATTCAGTACAAGTCCCTTCGGTAATTCAGGAATCGAATCCCCTCCACTTGGGAGCTTCTTCTGCTGAGTTCTACACAGTAGCTGAACTGTTGCAGGGCAATGGGCCTACTTCTTCTACGTTTCTATCGTATTCTTTCTGATCCGTCACACTTCAGTAGTCAGCTGCTGCTCGTCCTGCTTGATCAGTGGGTCCCCACAGCTCTCACTCACCCTAACAGCACGCCCACCTCTCCAGCAGTGCGAGCAGGGAACCTGGGAGTCGTCTTCGACACCCCTCACTCACCTCCAGGCCAAATCAATTCCAAGACCTGCGGCTCTTACTTCATAAATACTTCTTACATCAGAAACCCTCCTTTCATCCTGACTGCCCACTCTCCCAGGCCCAGTCGCCCTCATCTTCCACCAGGATTACCGCCGACAACAAGCGGCCTATTCACATCAGCCCTTACCATGGCCCCCTCCTCGGCAGCCAGTGGATATTATAAACCATAAATCTGATCTTGTCACTCACTACCTGCCTTAAAAATACCGTCTATGCTTTCTCATGGTCCTCAGAATAAATGCCAAAATCTTTCCTGGTGGCTATGATACCCTGCATGAGCTGATGCCTGTTCACCTCTCCAGCTCGTTTTATGCCACAAGAACCCTCCTCCTCCGTTATACCTATACGCCTCTACGTGCTCTCCCCACAGGAAGTGAGAGGGGGACCTGGGATGGCCTCCAGCAGGGAAATGTGGCAAATGGAGTTAGAGTCGGGCCTGAACCATGGGTTGTAGTGTCATGACCAAAAATCTTACCAAAGACGCTTTTTTGTTTCTTTACCTCTAATTTTAAGGTAGTTTTAAATTTATTGAAAAATTGTGAAGACAGTGCAGTGTTCCCACACACTCCATACCCAGTCAGTCAGTTTCCTCTGCTAATATTTTACGTTGGCATGGGACATGTGTCACGAGTCATTAACCAACACTGATACAGTATTGTGAACTAAAGTCAGAGTTTACTCAGATTTCCTTAATTTTTGTCTAATGTCCTTTTTCTGTTCCAGGGTCCCAACCAGGATACCACACTGTGTGTAGCTGTCATGGCTCCTTAGGCTCCTGCGGGCTGTGATGGTTTCTCGGACTCCTTGTTTCTGATGACCTTGACAGTTTTGAGGCGGACTGGTCAGGTATTTTGTATGCCCCTTAATTTGGGTTTGTCTGACGGTTTTCTCATGATCAGACATAGGTTATGGGTTTGGGGCGGAAGACCACAGAGCTGAGTGCTCTTCTCATCACATCATACAAGGGTACATATTATCAACATGACTTATCACTGCTGAAGGTGACCTTGAACACCAGGCTGAGGAAGTGTTTCTCTCCTATAAAGTTACTCTAATTTTCCCCCTTTCCATGCTGTCATCTTTGGAAAGAAGTTCCTCTTCACAGCCCACACTCCAGGGGTGGGGAATTATGCTCCACTTCTTTGAGGGAGGAGTATCTACATCAATTATTTGAAATTCTTCTACATGGGAAATTTGTCTATTCTTCCCAGTTATTTATTTATTCAATCATTTATATTAATATGAACTCATGGATATATATTTTATATTTTGTGTTATATTCCAAAACTTATTTATTTGGTTGCTCAGATTGTTGCAACTTTGGCCGTTGGGAACTCTTTTAGTGAGCCCTTGACTCCCTTTGACTTATACACCCATCATTGTGCGTGTTTCTCAGCACTTTCTTTTTTTTCTGGTACTACAAGGTGCTCCAGGCTCATACTGATACCCAGCCCTAGAATCAGCCATTTCTCCAAGGAGCCCTGCTTCCTTTTAATGGAGAATGGTGTGAAGCCAAGATTTGGGCGTTGGCTGGGTTCACTGCTACTAGGACCAAGAAGGTTTTCAAAGAAAAGAGTAGTTATCATTATAGATTGTTTGTATTAATCTCCTTGGGGTACAGGAGTGACTTTTGGTATATTAACCACAATTCTCTGGTTTGTTTCTTGAAAAAAAAAATAATACGTAATAAGTTAGAAGAGATGATATAGGATAATTACGGCAAAAATGAACGTGTTTTGAGAACCATAAAGCTCTGCAGAAATATAAGGTATTATGATTTTAATCAGCTTACGGTAAGGCCCTGTGGGCTCCCAGACTTTGGTTCCATGAGTCAGTCTGTCAACAGAAAAACAAACTGAAGGAAGTGTCACTGAGAACTGACTCATTTATCTACTATTTCTTTTGTCTTATCTGATGTTTGGTCTTTTTTAAAACTCTGTCAAGGTATTACTTTGCATTTCTACTTGCATACTGCTTTTAGCCAAAGAGTCATAAAAATAAAGCTAACGGTTTCTTTTCTGGAAAGGAGCACAGAAATAAAGTTGTTTAACATTTGAAAATAACCTCTTGGAATGCTGAAACCTTGCATGCTAACCTTTCCTTTCCCCCACAAAATTCTCTGTGCAAAGGCTGAGGGGCAAGAGCACAAGGAATGCTGGAACCAGGGGCAGAAACATGAAACTGAACTGAGTATCACGCTTATTTGGCTGTGGTGAGAATCTCTGTATCAGAACCACCATGACTAAAAATGATTATAAACTAAGTTGACAGCTTTGCCACAAAAGTCTAAAGGAGCTTATATGAAAACAGATTAAGGAAAATTTTATCGCTGATCAGTGGCTGTTAGGCCGGCCCCTCCAACGTCAATAGGAATAGATAGGATGTGACTTTAGGAAAAAAAACATGGACTTTTAGATCATTAAGGCCTCAAGGCTCACATCACTTCTATCTCCCATGTTCTAAAGAGCAGCTCAATCTGAGGTCAGAATTTAAAGATGACCTGAGAAAGATGTGGGAGTCGGGAGGAGAGTCAGCATGGAAAGAGAATGAACTTTGACTAAGTTTCATTATCTATAAAAATGGGGAAAATCTGACCTACATGATAGGAGACTAAATGAGGGAGCACAGCAGAGAGCACCTAGCACATGGCAATTTTTCAATATGTTGGGTTTTTTTCTGGTTATCCAAAGATAAGTAAAATCTGAACCTAAAAACTCAAAAAAGGCCATTTACTCAAGAATTTTAAATAAAATAAAAGATAAAAAGATAAGGTGGTCTACAGAGGAAGATACGTGATCTTGCATGTGTAATTCATCTGTCATTTACAAACTGCTGAAATAATATAGCTTCAGTCCCTAATAGCCAGATAATTCTACCCTTCTGTTTGTTGTAGAAAGAAACAACTCTGCTTCCTAATGGGTACAAAATATTACTTCCTTGCTACTCACAAACCTTATTGCATGTTTATCTTTCTAGAAAACCATACCTTTTCTGAAATGATTATAATAGAAACTGAGCTTTGGATCATGTTCCATAGCACACTTAAAAAATATTCTAGTATACATTTTTAAAATGGTAAAATGAATGAAAATACTGTATCATCATGGTTTATTTTAAGCAAAAGCTTTAAGTTCTCTTATTACTAAGAAATGTGATACTTAACATAAACCAAAAAAAATTGTGGGGTTATGGAATGAACAGCAGAAAAATGTTAATATTGACAATTAAATACAAAGAGCTCAAACCTCACCCCAGAATTCTTGGCAATTAAGAAAGTTGGTTTCAGTCAGGTATGGCCATACTGTGCTTAACGAGGGATTAAGCAACTGAACATTGTGCTTATAACATATATCTTAATACATGGTATCAATGTGTTTAAAACTAGATGAGGATAATTTCGATCTGTAATGCTCTAAATTTCTATTGCATCTACTACATTAATTATATAACACACACTTTCAGGGATGGACTGAAAAAGGAGCTAACGAGAAGCAGATTAGAAAGAAGTGTTCTGAAGTCAAATCACATTTTACCTCCACTAGGGAGATTAAGTGACTTTCTCAGCTAATTTATAGACAGTAAGCAGCAGAGCTAGTAACTGCAAATCCAATTCAATTTAACCATGTGACTCCTTTTCTTCTCTGAGGAAGGAAATATAGATTCTTTAAGAAAAGCTCCTGTGGCTGCAACTTGGATTTTTCCTGTGAGGCTCCCTCGGTATAGAGTTAAGAGTTCACACAGAGACTCGGCTGCCTCATAGGGAGAAAAGGGAGGAGAGGACCGCTGTTCTCCAGGACTTCCTTCAGCTTCTGGCCACAAGGAGACTCATGGTGGGGCTGGTT